GGAGCAGCTGATAGAAAAGAGCTTCAAAATGCTGCAAAGAAATGCTAATCGTTAGCTGGATATTTTAAGTAAAAAAGTTATTTTGATCTTCTTTTTATAATAATTAGTTTGATATTAGCTAGATATAGATATTATCTATATGTTAAATTTTTTTATGATAGTACTTTTGTTATTACTTGTTTTTTATTGTAATGTTTACGCGAGTTTTTTTAATTTTGGTAATTTTATTATCGGCAGTTCTCAAAATGTAACCCATCAAACATTAACCGAAGTAGAAGAAAAAGAGTAAGTCATTAAAGATGGTAATAATGTTAACAAAAGCTTGTCGTGCGAAGTAGACCAAACAAATTTAAAAGAATTTGATTTTAAAAAAGAAGAAAAACGAAATGATATTGACGAACTCTTGCGCGAAAATCAAGAATTATCACCACATGAAATATACAAAATGTTTACGAATAACTTAAAACAAAAGATACATTTTCAATTTTCCAAAACATTAAAACATGGTTACAAACGCGCTTATAAAGAAGAATATTTACAAAAGGGTTTTGTCTACAGCAAAAGTGAAGACGCTTTCTATTGTATATACTGCACTTAATTTCTAAAACAGGATAAAAAAATCTTTGGAAGCTTTTGTTAACCGTGGATATATGGAATGGTACAATGTTTTAGAGAAACAAAAACTACATATAGGCAATAGATACCAAAAAGAAGCTATCAAACAAGCTAATAGCACTTGTTGTCGTTTTGAAATTCCAGGACAAACCATTCCATTACAAAGCGATAGCACTTTAAAAAACCGACAACAAAATGTACCCGTACATTGTTGAAACATTGGTAGAATAGTACATTTGATGGGGAAACAAGGACTAGCAGTTCGTGGAACTTATGAAAAGTGTATGGAAAACTCAGACCAAATAGGTAATCCTGTAAACTTTTTTGCAATTGTGCAAGAAATAGCTCGGTATATCGCTAAATTTAGTGCACATACACAAACATCATTACGTCAAGATGTCAGCTACCTTGGCCCTAAAAGTCAAAATGAATTAATTGATATAATTGGAGAGAAATGTATACAAGAGGGGCTAGTTAAAGAAATCGAAAATGCAAATTACCATTCAATTTCAGCAGACGAGGTAACAACTGCAAACCAACAAATTCTATCAGTATGTATGAGATACGTAAACGGAGAAAAAGAAATTAGAGAAGTATTTCTTGACTTTTTGAATCTTGACAGGATAACAGGCAAACATATTGGGAAAAACTTGATGAAATTTCATAGCGAAAGTGGAATTGATCTTAGTTCTTGTAGAGGCTAGTGTTACGATGGTGCACCAAAAATGCAATCTGTAAAAAAAGGTATTGTCAGCTATATTTTAAAAGGATCACCAAAAGCAATTGTAAGACATTGTAGCTCACATCAAAAGCGTAGCGATGGATCCGCAGCCGCGGGTCCGAGACTTATTAGGAGCCCAAGCCAATTTTTTCAAATATATTTTATCGAATTTTTGCTATTATTATTTATATTATTACTTGTTTTCATTAAATTAGATCAAAATTGTATTTAAAAATAAAGCTTTTGTTTTCAAGTATAATTTTTTTTTTGTTTTGAGGGGGATGGGGGGGAGAGCAAGAGAAGTCATTTAGGGGCCCGGATTAAAATTTTGTGAGAGGCGTATTTTTTGTCGCTACGCTACTGGCTCACATAATTTGAAATTATCAATTGCTGCAACATCAAAAATACCAATCATTGATAACATTTTAAAGGTATACAGAAATATATCCATTTATTTCAATACCTCTCCGAAAAGAAAGCGTTTGCTGGAGCTTGTTGCAGAGGTCCGTTGTAAATCAAGTGAAAGAAAAAAAGACTTTGATAGAGATGTGCAAAACAAGATGGTTTCAAAGAGATGCCGCGTATAAACACTTTTATTTAGCTCTACCATTATTGGCAGAGACATTAAAGAATATTTTAGGAATACACTCTAATTTAGAACAGTACAATATGGATTGGGAAGCACAAAGAAAAAGAGAGGCCAACTCACTCCTTAATGCACTCACTAAGTTCGAATTCATAATTGGTATCATAACTTTGTACCGATTTTTTCACACGTTGTCGTATATAACAAAGAAGTTACATGTACGATTCCGAAACACAAATTGCATTGCTGCTAAGGTTTTATGCTTGTTTCCCTCAATAATTTGCAGTGAGGAGATAACTGCTTTCTAGGAATTAGTTGAAATATAGCTAAAGCCATTAAAATGAATGAAAATCAATGAAAATCAATATCCTAATATCTTTGAGCTTCTAAAGATTGAATGTTTACTATCCGTAAAACGTACGCAAAATGTGAACGTAGCTTTTCAGCAATGCGAAGATTAAGATTAAACATGGTTTAAAGTAAATATGACTGCAGATAGACTAGGTTTATTAGCCATCATGAATATCCGCTAAAATGAAATTGTTGATTATAAAAAAGTCTCAAAATTATTTTTTATTTTATTTTCTAGAAAATTGTATTAAAATAGTTTAGTTTTTAAATAAAAAGCTAAACTATTTATCAAAGTCTTTAATTATCTTTGTATCAATACCCATTTTCTAACAAGGAACTTGCTTATATGCAGTATAAAAATAGAAAAAATATTCGGAGAACAATAAATTCGTTTATGTAAACATTGTTTACACAAATATAGCTATGTTTCACGAAAATTTTATTAAGTAAATTAAGTAAGATGTTTGTTTGGTGTTTTAAAACTGGCTTATTTTTTCAAAAACGACCCCCCAAAAAAATTTCACGGTACGCTCCTGTCTTAGTATAGACAACACAATTATTGAACGAGGTCAATCATCTAAATTTCTTGGTTTGCTTCTTATATATATATATATATATATATATATATATATATATATATATATATATATATATATATATATATATATATATATATATATATATATATATATATATATATATATATATATATATATATATATATATATATATATATATGCATATGCATATGTGTATAAGGCCGAACACGGATATTACATCTTCCTCATGTAATTTTTTATTTAAAGATGTGTTTAGTTAAATAAGTTCTTTATAATATACACTGTTAAATGAAGTCCCTCAAGTAGGCAGGTCTGTTTTTAGTCCTTGACGATCTTCACAAGTCAGGCTGCGGTTTAGTCGATAGAGTTTCAGGAATACATGTAGCTTCTATTACATTGTTTGCTATTTCCTCATTTGATATAGGGGGTATGATAACAGCCTGTAATTCGTATGGCAAATCAAGTTGTTCATGCTGATATACTAGTGGTTGCTTATTGGTTTTTATCAGATATTTACGATTGCATTGATATACTCTTCCGTACTTATCTACCACGTTGTATGGGTAACTACGAGATTCGGGAGTTCAGATACGTTCCAATCATACCCAGCTAGCACACATACGTTGTTAAAACATTAGAACAATGTTGCACGTTTCGTTGGCCCAACATCGGCTGCCAACGTTGTTTTTATATCATTATGGTTACAAATGCGACGTCGCCAACAACTGAAAACCAATGTTGATAAAACGTTTCTTTAAAGTCGGAAAATGATACGTTGGTTCAACGTTATATTTTATAAGTTGGCCCAACGTTGTATTTATGTTGATTCAACGTTGGACTTTAATTGGAAAAAGGTTGTATTCAATATTATTCGAAATTTAATTTTCATTAAATTCTATTTTCTTTATATATATATATATATATATATATATATATATATATATATATATATATATATATATATATATATATATATATATATATATATATATATATATATATATATATATATATATATATATATATATATATATATATATATATATACATATATATATATATATAGGTATTGTGGTTTATCCTCCTCCAGCTAATTGCCATACGGAGGCCACATAACCAAGGACCGCAAAGACAAGTTCAGCTAATAAATAGCGTCATTACCTGCTCTACGGACCAAGAGTAAAGTGAGTTTAGGAAGAACGAAGAATGTTAGAGTAAAAGACAGAAGAAGTTGTGTTAGAAAGATAGCATACAGATAGCGGACAGGATTGCACACGATGTTAGAAGGTGCAGTATGTTACTATCAGTATGTATATATATATATATATATATATATATATATATATATATATATATATATATATATATATATATAATATATATATAGATGTATAGAGAGATAGAGAGATAGAGAGATAGAGAGATAGAGAGATAGAGATAGAGAGATAGAGAGATAGAGAGATAGAGAGATAGAGAGATAGAGAGATAGAGAGATAGAGAGATAGAGAGATAGAGAGATAGAGAGAGATATGTCAACGTTTGATCATCCCAACAAAAATCATGTTTGTGTTGGTTGTGGTTTGATATTTTAATAATTACAAGATTTTCTTTAAGTTATATAATTTCGTAATAGCAATGTTTGGTCGCATTCATTGGATCAACGTTGGGTTTAGATCGTAAAAACAATCAACTTTTTGCGATGTTTTTACATACATTGGGAAAACATTGATTTATATACACTGAATCAATGTCAAGGTATATAAATTGGATCGACGTTGCGTTAAGATCGTAAAAACAATCAACTTTTTTCAATGTTTTTACATACATTGGAAAAACGTTGATTTATATACATTGAATCAACGTCGAAATATATACATTGGATCAACATTGGGTTTAAATCGTAAAAAAAATCAACTTTTTGCGATGTTTTTACATACATTGGACCAATGTAAATTTGCATGATGTTTTTCGTTCCGTTGGTAATAATTTTATCATTAACCAAATGACATTGTTGTTGTTTTGCATCGGAAAAAAGAGCCGACGTTCGCGACGGTTTTACATACGTTGGCCCAATGTAAGTGTGCCAGCTGGGTAGTATTGTTTTTGACAATTTCTGAACTTGGTGATCTGACTATAAGCATTTAAAGGAACTGCTGGTGTAAGTAAGTCAAGGTAGACAGGTAGGGTTGTTCGCATTCTTCTGTTCATGAGAAGTTGGGATGGAGAGTAATCCATACCAGTGAGAGGCATGTTGAGGTATTCTGAAAAAACCAAGTTCGAAGTTATCGCATTTTTTTAGTATTTTCTTCATAATTTTCACGCCCGTTTCACTGAGACCATTTGATTGGGGGTAGTTTGAGCTTGGTGGAGTAAAGTTGAACCCATATTCTTTTAAGAAGTTATTGGCAATGAGACTTGAAGGTATTACGTGACAAGTAAAAATGGTTTTCATAAGTTTGATTACAGAAAATGCCGTTTTGTCAGGAATGATACTGTTTTCTATAAACTTAGAAAAGTAGTCTATAATAATTACATAGATTTTTCTATGCAGCTCATATATGTTTGATCCTACTTTACTCCACGGTAAGTCAGGAATGTCGTGTTGAATAATTTTTTCCTTTTTGTTGTTATTACGATATTTGAGGCATTTATGGCAGTTGAGTATTAGTTTAATAATGTCGCTTGTAAGTCCTGGCCAATAAACAGCGTTTTGAGCTCTAGCTTTTGTCTTTTCTGTGTTAAGGTGTAATAAGTGAAATTGTGTTAATCTAAGGGGTCTCATATCAGTTGGTATGACTATTTTGTTTTCTTTTTAAATTATTCCCTCTGCTATGTGTAAATTGTTTCTGATGGTCTAATAATTTCTTTCTTAACCACAGAATATTTTTCGTTTTTGGGGCTAAACATAAGTTATATAGTTTCTTAGTTGAGAGAGCAAAGGGTCAAGTTTAGTGTCGTGCTGCTATTGCTTATAGTGTCGTCCTGCAATAGCAATATCAGTCTATCTGCTGATATTGGCAAATTAAAACAACGTAATGGTCCACACTAAAGTGTGGACCATTACGTTGCAACCCTCATTTAGGCTATCATCCTTGTCAAAAATGTTGAGGTGGACACGTGATAAAGAGCGTGCAATGTGTAGATCTTTTCCTGGAATATATTTTACTACAACTTGACATTTTCGGAGCCTTATCAGAAGTCTTTGTATGCAAGGTGGTGCTTCTGACAGCGGCTTGTGCAAGATATATTCAAGAGGCTTGTGATCGCTTTTTATTGAGACCTGTTGCCCATAGGTATATTGTTTGAAATGTTTACAAGCAAAAACTATTGCTAACAGTTCTTTCTCTATCTGGGCATATCTCTGTTCTGCTATGGTTAAACTACGAGAAGTATAGCTGATCGGGTGACCTTCTTGCATAATACAGGCTCCTAACCCATGTGAAGATGCGTTTACCTGAATTTGTATATCTTTTAACATGTCGATGAATGAGAGTACAGGAGAAGATGAAAGTACCTGTTTAATATTTTCCAAAGCACTGGTATATTCATAGTTCCATGACCAGTGTATGTCTTTTTTAAGCAGTTGGCGGACGGGAGCTGTTATCTCTGACACATTTGGGATGAATTGTCGCAGATAGTTGACCATTCCTAAGAGCCGTTGCAAATCTGCTTGACGTGCAGGCAATGGGTATGCAGATACGGCTTTAGTTTATTCAGTATCAACTCTTATGCCTTCATGGCTGATTATGTTGCCAAGATACTTGACCTCAGATACTCAAAATTGTATTTTTTTTAGGTTGAATCTGATGTTTCTCTCACGAATTTGTTGGAAAATTGTATCATGCTCTGCATCTGTTTTAGCTACAATAATTAAGTCATTGTAGATAGCCAGAACATTAGGAATATCACCGAAATTAAGTTCAATTGTCTCCTGTGCAGCATTTGGTGCGCATGATATGCCGAACGGCATGCGTTTGAATTTTTTATCGGCCATAAGAAGTGTTAAATATGCATAGCTCTGAGGAAGGTTCATCTAGTTTTATATGTCAATAGCAATCAGCCATGTCTGTTACAGGGAAAATTTTGTTGCCCCAAAGTTTGCTAGAGATTTCTTCGGTAGATGGAGTGGTTTTGTATTGTCTTAAAACAGACTTGTTTAGTTCTTTCGGATCAATGCATAATCTTAAGGATCCATCTTTTTTCTCTATGATGACCATTGAGTGTACCCAAGTGTTGGTTTAGAAATTTTTGAGATAACTGTGGCTTTTACTAGACGGTCAAGTGTGCTTTTAAGTTTAGGTAAAACAGTCATTGGTACTTTACTTGGTGCATGAATGACTGGAATTGTATTTTTGATAAAATTTATGATAGTTTCCTTTTACTAAACCAAGGCCGGTAAAAACGTTATCATTGTGACTTTAATTTCAACATCGTTAATGTTTAGTATTTCAAGAGATTTCTAGACCAAGGAACTTAAGACCAAACTTAGACCAAGAAGTGGTTTTACGTCAGTAAGAGGTACAACAAAAATCTGGCACGATCGTGAAATGTTATTCTTTTTAATAGTTAGGTTGCAAAATCCAAGTACAGGAATATTGTTTCCACCATATGATTTTAGTTGAGTTACTGTTTTTTTTTTTTGAGAGGTCTTCCAGGAATAGAGTTGTAGACGTTGTATGAAATGACGTTACTTTGAGCTCCAGTATCTAATTTAAATGTTATATTTTTGTTGTTGACTGTAATACTTGTTGTTAAATCGTCAGTACATTCCATTGATGCTGCAAAATGCTGAATATATAACTCTGCAACGTTGAGGTTAACTTTCTTTTGATCAACTTGTTCTACACGATTAGTATTAAAGCGATTAGTTTTGGATCGGCATACTTTAGCAAAATGGTTTAGTTTTCCACATGCTGTGCACTTTAGGCCATATACTGGGCAAAACGAGGTTGTATGTTGTGATCCACAGTAATAACAAGATTTTTTTGAAGGTCTATCAATCTTTAGGGAGTTGAAATTAGCTCTGTTTCCGTGTTTGTTTATAGAATCAGCCTGGATTGTATTTTTCAGGCCTTTTAATTGTGTTTTTGATGTTTCATATGCTCTCATAAAATTCATTGTTTTTTCTAGAGTAAGCTCAGTGTCTCTAAGTAGTTGTTCTCTGGAAGCTTTAGAATTGATTCCACAGGCTACTCTGTTACGTATTAGGCTTTCTTCGAGGGTTCCAAACTTGAAATTTTTAGCTTTGTTTCGTAAATCAATCAAGAAGTCAGTAAATATTCTGCTGTCTTGCATACATGTATTGAATAAATAACGTTCATAAGTTATGTTTTTTTTCGGACTGAAATAACATTCAAACTTTTGAAATAAAGGTGTTAATTTATCGTTTTCTTCGATTCTGAAAACGAATGTATCATATACTTTTAAAGCGCTTTCGCCAATCATATGAAGGAATATGGCACATTGATAGGGTTTTCATATTATAATCAATAAAAAAGATGAGATTTTGTAATGCACGGAAATAAAAGTAAAATCACCCCCCCCCCCCCCTCCTTATTTAACGGCGTGATACCAGAGGGTACCTCTTTTATAAAAATTAAATTATAAAAATCCAAATTTTTTGTTAAAAAATGTTATTAGTTTTTTAATTATAAATTATTAAAAATTACATTAACCTTAAAACTAATTAACCTTACTTTAATCAAAGACAAGTGTAACTTTAGATCAAAAGTAATAATTGTTACAATTATTGAACTGTAATTAATTGATAAAACTCTTATTCCATATCAAATAACTATTTTAAAAACTTACGAAAGATATATTCTGTATAATTTCAAACCATGCATTTAGACTATATATATATATATATATATATATATATATATATATATATATATATATATATATATATATATATATATATATATATATATATATATATATATATATATATATATATATTATTTATTTATTTATTTTGCCGTTGATAAATATTACAAAAAAGAAATTACAATAAAAGAAAATCTTGGCCGGAGCAAGAAGAAGACAGGTTGTCTTATCACCGAGCCCCGTCACACAAAAGTTTACATGCACAATAAATGATAAAAGACAAAAAGACAGTATAAATACAAAAACAAATCAAAAACTTCAGCAATAAAATAATTTGTTGCTAACAATCTTCCAGCAGAATAATTTTAAATAAAATAAAAAAGTAAAAACGACAGGAAATCATGAAAGTTATAAAAAAAACACACAAAAAAAAATGCGTTGTTTAATTAAAAAAAAGCAATATATGTAAACATAAGTATTTGGGCTGATTATTTAATATCATCAAAAATAGTTATCTTTTATACTAATGATTTGAAACCATTTTAATAAAAGCCAAAGAAAGTGATAAAGATTTAATTTATTTTTAAGTGATTTAATTTAAATATAATTAGCCCTAATTAATCATCTGTATCAGTATCACTGTCATTAGAGAATTCAATTGCGGGAACAGAGCTAGAATTACAAACAAAGGAAGACTGATCATACAAGCTATACTTTTTGGTTGAACCTATCTTTTTCAATAAGTCTTTGTTTGATAGCAGATACTCATGGAACTTATGACAGGAGAATGATTTATAGTTATATTTTATACATAAAATACTTTTAACGGACTCTACTAATAATCTATTTCTTTCTTTTATCCGTTGGCCAGACATAAGTGAAAACAATCGCTCTATAGATAAGGGGGGTCCATAATCATCATTTTTTTAGATTTTTTATAGTTTAATCAATTTTTAAGTTTAAGATGCGCGCGCATTTACAAAATTAAGTTATGGAGAGAAGTGAGTATTTGAGCACTCTCAACAAATTAGTAAAGCTGCTAAATAATGGTATTAGTAAATACTGAAAATTTTAGCATTAAATAAATGATTCTTATAAAAACAGCTTAAAAGAAGAATTTTACAGTTTTTCTCTGAAATTATCCGTAGGCTTTAGCCTCAAAATCCGGAGATCTCCGGGTAAATCCGGAGATATGGCAACCCTAAACATTGAATATCTTCATTCTTGCCATTGATTTTTGAAGCTATTTTATAGGGGTTCCTTCTCTGCTTCCATTTTCGCCAGTTTTCTGAAACATTGCCATTTAAATTCATTAAACCTCTAATGGTCATAGTTGTTACATTTTATTTGAAACACAGGTTTACTTCTGGTACCATGTGATATTCTGAGGATAATGTTAGATTAAAAATTAAATAAAACATAAAGTTTAAAGCGTGCAAACCGCCATATTTATTTCAAGTAATGATAATAACACGAGTCATGTGTGTATTATGCGAACACGGATATTACAATGAGTATCTCGTGAAATTAGCCCAAAATTTAAAAAAATGAAGAGTTATCGATGAAACAACTTTACACAGTTTTCTGCGAGTTTCCCTGGACTACATAACTAAAGGTTTATTTTTCCTTCTTTTAGACTTATCTTGTCTTCTCAAAATAAAAACTGTAATATAAACTATTTTACTTTATTATATTACTTTGTACATCAAATATATTTTAATATTATTTCAGTTATTTTTGAAGCATTTTGATTGTATTTTTGTCAAAATTGGTCTCAGAACTGAGTCTTGTGGTACACGTCTTGAAACATCAAACCATGTAGATACAATGTCTTCAAGAACAACTCTTTGCCTTATATTTGATAAAAAGGGCTCAATCCATTTATACCGTACATTTTAAGTTTGAATAAAATTGTCTATGGTGAACTCTGTCAAATGATTTAAAAAAGTTGGTAAAGAGGATGTTGAGTAACCTTGATCCATTGCCAGAGTTAAAATACCTGTAAATGGATTTTAAGTAAAATTGTAATTCAAGATTTACCTGGCAGAATCATACTGATTCTTATTTATCGAAAAAGATGCCAAATGTTTTTTTTTTATTATCTTTTCTAAAGTTTTACTTATAACGGACGAAAGAGAAACAGATCGTTGGAAGGAGCTTATCAAAATTTTAAAAAAAGAATCTTTCCAAGCACTTCTAGGTACCTCTCACAATTCAAGGGATAGCTTAAAAATATGTTCAATAAGAATGCTCAAACTTTCATAGTAAATACTCTATACATAAGGATGGGCTTTATTGTTTCCACAGGCTTTCTGTTTATCCAATTGCTTTAGTTATAAATTAATATCTTTCAGGCTCATTATTTTGTTTTACAGTTAACTTGATCGACAGGATCAAATTTTGGTAAGACTTTGTTATCGTCTTGAGTAAATACGGATTGAAAAAAGGTGTTCAACTAATAAGAAATATCTAAAAGGTTATCACTTATTATACCCTTCGAAAACCTATAGGTACAAATTCCTTCCTTAGATTTTTGTTTGCAATTCAGGTATGCTAAAAATGTCTTAGGATCGAAGTTAGAACATTTAGCTAAGTCATACTGAAATTGTTTTCATCAAATTGTAAGGCATTATTAATAGAATTTTGAGTTTTATTTTTTATAAGTTTGTAATTTGTTATTAATTCGTGATTATTTCTACCTGATGCAATAAATGTTGACCACAAGAGGGTTTTTTTTCATTAATTTCTTTATATCAGATTTAACCAAAGCTTGTCGCGGTTGTCCGTATTTTTTTTGATCGTGAAATAAACTTACCACAGGCTATTATATATACTTCTAACTGTTTATCATAACACTCATTTATGTTTCTATCCCTAAATAATGCTTTTTAATCAATTGATTTAAAATATTGATCATTTTGAAATAGCCGCCTTTTTTATGCACTTGATATAAATTGTTTAGTCATGTTATTAGAATTTACTAAATAGTTTTATGTCAAAATCAAGTGAGCATCACCGATCTTACCTAAAGGAGGGTTTGATGCTAGTTCAGAAACACAATTTGAGTTTTTTGTAAATATAAGGTTAAGTGTGTTGGTATATTCCTTGTCGGAATTTTGAAATATTGGAAAGAATGCATTTTGTGACAAAAAGAAGTCATTTAAAATTTCTCTAAAACTAAATTAAAGACTACATTGATCTGAATATAAAATAATGTAGATATCATCAATTCATTTCATTTTTAGAAAAATTAAAATCACCGGCTAAAAAAACCTTGTAAAAACACCATTATTGTAAATACATTTTGCAGCCAGGATCAATTTGCTTAGGTTTAAACTATTTGCAGGGTTTGGAGGCCTGTGCATTACGGTACAATATACTTTCAAAGCTTTTGATTTTTTATTTGCCTGATAATTTTTATAGCGCTACTTTATGTGAATAATGACTTTGAGAAAAAATTGAAAAAAACAAATTTTTTACCTATGTGAAATTGCAGTTTTCAAAAAGCTTGCTTAGGCACTTTCATTTTTTTAAGTGCATAAATTAGGCGGTTTTTAAGCTTTAAAAAAAAGCTGCTCATAAGTTTAGCTTGCTAGCTCTTCTTGAAAGTTTTAAGGAGAACTTTTATAAATTTATTGCGGTAAAAGTTGCATCATAGTAAATTAAACTCTCATAAATTAAATATTTTTGTAATATTTTAAAGAAATATTACAAAAATATATTTAAAAATATATTTTTGTAATATTTTTTTAAATAAATTTTAAACTAACTCATCTTTTTTGCTTAATTCTAGATTATAATAATAATAGAAATTTGAAATTTCCCATTGGAAGAAAAATCATAAGTCAAGAAATCAAACAGCATATTATTGGCATTAATATGAGAGGTTGAAATATCTTGAATTTTAAAGTGTGAAATATCTTGAACTTTAAAGTGTGTTTTACCATCATGAAAATGGTAGCACTGTTGAAAAAAAGCATTGTGGGCAACCAAGAAAGACAAATGTGATAATTTTATTTATAGAATTTAAAGAATAAGATGATAATTCTATTTATAGAATTGCCAGAAAAAATCCTAAATACTCAGCAAAACAGATTGCACAAGAAATAAACCTGGCACTTAAAAATCAAATATCAAGGCAAACAGTTAATGGAAGACTAATAGACCGTAAGCTGTCGTTTTTTTATAAATTCTCTATTATGAAGATACTTTTAAAATAAACGAACATATTTATCATCATCAGCCTAATTCATTTTTTTCTGATTTACTTCATAATCTTTGGTTAACCTATAGTTCAAATAGACAATATGATCAAGCAATTACGTATTATGTACAAAGTTTTGAAATGAATAAACTTATTTGTCATAATCAACTCAATATAAATGTTGCAAAATATTTATAAGGTCTAGGGGAAGCTAACTATTTTAAAGGAGAATATGGTAAGGCTATTGTTTACTATAATGAGTCTCGTGAAATGAATGAACATATCTATCACGATCAACCTAAACCGTCATTTTTTGATTTACTTCATAATCTTGGGTTAACCTATAGTGCAAAAAAACAATATGATAAGTCAATAATTTATTATGAGCCTTGAAATGAAGAAACTTATTTATCAAGATCAACTCAATATAAATGTTGCAAAATCTTTAAAAAGTCTGGGGAAACTTATTGTTCTAAAAGAGAATATGAAACGACTATTGTTTAACTATAAGCAAACTTTAATGTATTAAAAATATAACTATCAAGATCAACCTAATTCTTTATTTGCAGATTTGTTGAGTAATCTTGGGTTAGCTTATATAGCGAAAAGACAATATAGTCAGGCAATCATGTGCTATAAACAGAGTCTTGATTCGAAGGTTGAACAAACTTATTTATCATGATCAACCTAATCAATCTTATGCTGAGTTATTTAAAAATCTTGGGTTGGCTTGTAATTCAAACAAACAATATGATCAGGTAGTCATCAACTATGAACAATGTCTTAAAATAAATAAACTTAATTACAAAGATGAACTTAATTTTTATGTTGCTAAATCTTTGAATAGACTTGGGGAAGCTAATTATTCAAAAGGAGAATATGATAGAGCGATTGTTTACTTTATGAAGGCTCATGAAATGAATGAACATTTCTATTAAAATCGAACTAGTTCATTTTTTGCTGATTTACTTTATAGTCTTGGGTCAACCTATAGTGCAAACGGACAATATGGTGAGGCAATCATATACTTTAAGCATAGCCTTAAAATGAACAAAATTCTTTATCAAGATAAACCCAATTTAAGTGTTGCCAAATCTTTAAATGGTCTAGGGGAAGCTTATTATCCCAAAAGAGAATATGATATGGCAATTGATTTCTATAAAGAACTTGTAAAATGAATGAACTTCTCTTTAATAATGAAACTAGTCCATTTTTTTCCGAATTACTTTATAATCTTGGATTAGACTATAGTGCAAAAAAAACAATACGATCAGGAAATCATGCACTTTGATCAATGTCTAACAATAAATAAACTGACTTACAAAGGTAAACCAAATATTATTGTTGCTAAATCTTTATTTAGTCTTGCGGAAGCTTTTTACTCTAAAGGAAAATATGATGAAGCGATTGTTTACTTTGAAAAGTATTATGAAACGAGCAAACTTGTTAATCTCAATCAACCTAGTCGATTTACTCAATAATCTTGGGTTAACTAGTGTAAATGTACAAAACGAAAACGCAATTTCTTACTATATGCAAAGTCTTAAAATGAATAAAGCTTTTTGCCGAGATAAATCTAATATTAGTGTTGCCAAATCTTTAAATGGTCTTGGGGGAATTCTAAAAGACAATATGATATGGCAATTAATTACTTTAAAAAGAGTTTAAGGATATAGATTGCATCAACAAGGATGAGCTTTATTAGGATGTTTTTCCTTTAAATTATCTAGGTAAAACATATAGAACTATTGAAATATTTATCGAGGTGATTAAATTTCAAAGTCAAGCTTTTAAAAAAATACAGAAAGTGTAATCAATAGTTTAAGAGAAACTGCTTTGTTATTTTCAGAAAAATATTCTTTAAGTCCACAACTGATTGTAAATAAAGTTGCTCGCTTTGCTTTAGAAGGGTTGAATTTTACAGATTATAGAGTACATTTTAATTATTCGAATACTCAATATGATAATGTAAATAATCATGACGCAGAAAATACCAAAAATACAATAGAAGAATTTAAGTTAGCATTAATATAGCAATGATATATATAAAAACTGAAAAGTAATAAAGTTACACGAAGTATGAAGAATTTATAAATTTAGAGACTGATAATCTTGTTGATCATTAGTCTCTAAATTTAAAGTATATAAAAAGTATAACATTACAACAAAAAAAAGTCAGATAGATGTAATATTTCTAAAATTTATTCAGTTTCTCTTTTGTTAAAATTCGCTCTAAACGATAAAGATATGAAAATAACGAAAAGGCTACTTGAATTAGGAGATGATCCTAGGTGTAATAATCTACTAAGCCTTAAAACGTCGATTGGTACTGCTTGTATGGAAGAAAGTGCTTTTTTAGAAGAATTTTTAGAAGAAGTTATCAAAGACGAATACAAATTAGTTAGATTTAAAGCATCATTTTGTGACGATGTGTATCTTATCCTAAAATTTATTACAGATTATCAAAATAAAAAGCGTTTAATTCGAATATTACTCAAATTATATGACTTTGATAAAAAATATAGGTATATAGTGATGATTAATTATCAAGTTAAGTAACTCCAATTTACAAAATCTTTATGGTGCAATCAGGGCAATTTTTTATTAAAGTTGTAATTTATACAAAGTCTTACAATTATCTGCTTATTTATGAAATATAATTATTTATAAAGAGTTTTATTTTTCTATAAATGCAAGTTTACTCTTGTAAATAAACTATACATCTGTTGTAAATTTAATTTTATTTAGGTACACTTAAAATTCATCCTTCTGGAGTTGAATTCGCATATCTCCGTCATATTAACTTATAATTTGAGTAATCACCCTATTTGTTTGCATTTAACTTTAAGCGGCTTGCTCGATTTTTTATTTTGTATTTAACTTCGAAAGTGACCTTAAACGGGTCCCTTTTTAAGAAATGATAGAATCAGCTAGCTATAACAAAACTAAAATTACAAACTAAATATTTTTCATAAGTTCAATCTATGCTCTACAATTTAACATTAAAAAATTAAAAGTGTGGCTATGCCTGACATAAAGCAATAACCGTTGAACGAAGAGATGCTAGGGTCCATTTCAGTCTAGAGGTAGCCTAAAATGGGGCCTTATTTAATTTCTAAATCAAATCTGACTGTTAAAAAGGCAGAATGTACAATGTGTCTAATTTGAAGTATCAACTCTCGAACTATTATTGTGCAAATTAAAAAGATAATATGTTTAAATTTTAAAAATATCAAAAAACAAAAAAAAACAAAAAACAATGCTTTTTATAATTGTAATAAACATAAATTCAATATTTAGCTCAACAAATTTTAAAAGTGGTCTTTTCAAGTATATTTAAAAAAATGAAACCTCAGTTTTATTTATTACTGTTCAATGCTTCAGTCAGAGATGTTAACAAGGCCAAAAGTTGCAAGGACAAGGCCAAGACGTACGCAAATATTTTCAAGACTAAAGACTTTAATTTTTGCCTTACGTTAACCCGTAAGTACCGTATGTCCTTTAAGGGACGTAAAACTGTCCCTGTCCACATTAAACTAGTGTATTTGAAATATTTTTTGAAGGATAAGTACATACCTTTGCAAAATGGTTTGACACACATGCCTCTTGCTTCTCAGTTAACGGCAACCGATTGCCTTTAATAGTTTTTCAGAAGCAACTGCTCAAAGTTAATGCAAAAAAAAACATGTGTTGTGGCAAGAACCTCATCAAAGAAACCCATTCTAAAAGGTAACTCGTTGTTGTTTTTATTATTGTTTTATAGAAATAAAATCATATTCGTAAATATTAAGCTGATTTATATTTTTTGATTTTGTATTGAATATAACTGCATAAACATTACACGTTCTTTTAAGGACGTGTCGGCATTATCTGGATTCCATCTTAATGAATAAGCAATTTGCACAAAACATTTTAAATATGTTTTTAATTAATAACAATAACTTTATTAATTTTTCTAAATAAAATAAAGTTAAACAATTAAGAATTTTATTTTCTAGACAAATTGGTCTGACTCTAAATAAGGCTGTTAACGGGTACCCGGGTACCCGGATACCCGCCCGTTGAATACTGCCCGGGCAGCATTATCATTTAAAAAAAAATGTTTCAAATGTTTTTTTTTTAAGATTTTAATCTTTAACTGAAATAAAATAGTTTAACAATATGAAATTGATATGTAAAATAAGATCGTAAAGAAATAGTTCTGATTTCTTTATCACCATTAGATTTTCTGAAAAATTTAACAATTCAGAACAATTCATGAACGTTCAGAAAGTAATTTGAGTTTATGATTCGGAAACCCACCTTTTGTTTTTAACTTTATACGCAATGTTTTCTTTTACGTAAATCAGAACTCCTCAAACTTGTTTATTAGTATGTCTTAATGACAAAATTTTGTAAAACCTAGAAGATGGAGAGTAGAATTATCTCAAAGATCTTTCAAAAAAACCCAAGTTTCAGTTAAGCAAATTATATATAGGTGTTTGAAAGTGTTTTCAGTTTCTTATTAAAAAGGTATACAGTTTTTCCAAGAAAAAAGTTTTTTTAAAAAAAGTTTTTTTAAGCGCGCGTAGTAAGTTTATTGTAAATAAATAAAATGTTATAATAAAATTTCATCAATTTGTAACCAATTAAAGTTTTGTAAAAGTCAGTTTTTGTTCTTTCATCTTAATGCCTTTAAAAAAAATATATTATTTTTTAACCCACCCGTTCGTTCAACGGGTACCCGGGCAAGCATTTTTCCGATTTTTGACAGCCTTGTTGATGTAGTAAAGAGATAGTAGCCTTGTTAGAAAATCAGGATGAGAATGATGTTATTGAAGTTACCATGATTCTATCTGTCGCTGAAACCCTGACTGACAAAGACAGAGACGAGGAAAAAGATGGAGAACATGGTAAAAGCATTAATCATCTTGGAGCTGGTATACTTAACCAACAAGCAGAGGTTGTCATAAATGAAAAAGATGGCGAATTGCCTGGTAATTCAAATGGTGAGAATATAATAAAAATCAAAATTATTTTTCAACTTTAGTTTTATGATTGAAAAATGACATTAAAAATTAATTCTGATTTGTTTTGTATAGATAAACACTGATGGTGTTGTAATTAACAGTGTAGACAGTGATACTGGCAATACTAACGATACAAGTGATATCTTTAAAGACGAGGTCATGCCATGTTATAGTAATAAAAAGAGAATCGTTATTTTGTCAAATGTAATGAAGCTGTTGGTACACTTCTAAGGTAAATAACTAACCATTAATATAATTTTGTTTTGTTATTTAATGGTTTTTACACTTTAATGATATTAAATCACAAATATCTTTTACTTAAAGGCAAAGATTTTTTTTAGAAAAAAAAACAAAGACCGTATTTGAAGTAACACTTGCGGTGCTTGTTTTGGAGCTAAAGTACCAGAGTTCTAAGAAATTACTTTGAAATCGCCTGTTGACGATGATTGTGTTCTACCTTACAACTTTTTATGTTTGTTTCTAGATGATAAGTTTATACAAAACGTTTCCAATAAGTCCTCAAAGTATGGTTGCAGGAAAGGATACCCTAAGAAGGCTTTCCTAATGAACAAGGATAGTATATTAACCTCTATTGCAGTAACGTATATGACTGGTTATTTAGTACCTGCTAATAGAAGGTTGTATTGCAAAGAAAAAGAAGACGCTCAAAATATGTTCATCAAAAGAGCTATTTCTAGGGACATTTTTAATGATGTGCTCAAGTTTACCTACTTTGTTGATGAGCATAATGTAGATCTCACTAATGCATTTTTGGAGAGTTTGCCCATTTTTTGATCAAATTAACAGCTCCGCAAAAAGGTTAGTGCATCAGTCTGAGTTTTTCAGTGTCGATCAGACGATGGTCAGATATTTTGGACTTCATCCACTGAAACAAGCCATTCGAGAAAAGCCTGAAAGGTAAAATCTTTGTTTCCTTAAATTTATTTATTTTTTTTAGACATTTGATATCTTTATTTTAAGTTAAACAATACCTATATAATATAATCATTTATAGGTATGACTAGAAGGTTTGGTGTCTAGCAACTGCTGAGGGAGATCTTTTGGCCTGTCAGCCTTAAAAACAAAAATTAAAAACAATGGGCTTGGTCAGGGCCCCTATGTTGTTTTGAGTCTTTCTGAGCAGTATGTTTTGAAGAAAGGGACCAAAGTTGCTTTTATTTACCAGGACTTTGCGAGAGGTACAGTGGCAAGAACAAGGCATACATCAAGCTTTCTTGTCCTTGTATGGTGATTGACTACAACAAGAAAATGGGTGGAGTTGACTTGTTTGACCAGAATACAAAAAAATACAACATCTCAACCCGTCTTAAAAAGTGGTATTGGTCATTCAGGACATGATTCTTGAATGTGCAGATGAATCAGGCTTGGCGATTGTATCACCACACCTGGAGAAACCGGTATATAATGGATCAGGAAAAGAATCATCAGGAAAATGATGAACTTAATGATAATCTTAATGCAGCTGATTATCCAAGTTCGCAAAAAATAGGCAAAGGATTATAAGAAACAAGGGTACGATGAAGAGAAAAGAAGAGAAGAAGGTATATGAGATCACATTGTTGGAATTTATTCGACAGTCAGTCGAATTTATGTTAATGAATCACTCTAACCATAAATAAAACTTGTTAGTTTCCTAGAAAGAGTTATCCAGGTTGTCTACCAACAGCAACAAGCAATCAGGTTTTTAACTTTTATGTTAATTGTTTAAAACTATTTTATACAAAACTTACTTTTTTATCATAATACTCTTTTATTCTATAAAGGTAAAATCAAATTATTATTTTAGGTATGACCACACCAGAGCTCACTTTTTTATAAAACAGAGGTTAAAAAAATGCCAATATTGTCATGACAGAAGCAATTTTAGATGCGAAAGTTGTGATATTGCTCTACACTCTGGCTGCTTTGTAAACTACCACAGACCTGAAAATAAGTTATAAAAACACTTATATAACTTAATAATATTATTTTGAAGAATAGCGTTTTTAATAAATTTTTATTATTTTCCCTATTATGTAGTTAAGTTTAAAAATTATTTCTATAACTCTAATTTGCAAGCGTAATCGAGAGGTTTAAATTATGTACATTATTTTAAATATTTCCTTTTTTTTAGGCCAAGTGCCTACACGTCCTTAAAAGGACGTGGATGTTTTGAGGTGTTAAAAATATTACAGCTAATTAAAAAATCTCTTTATGTATAATCATTTTCAACTCTAAGCAATATGTAAAATAAGTTTCAAAAAAAAACTTCGCTGGTTTCATGAAATAAACTCCCGTAGCGTAAAAAATTATATTGATTAGATGTTTATATTGATATTGATTAGATGTTTATAATTAATCATGCTTAATTATATTGATTAGATGTTTATAAATAAATCATGTCAAAATCATTAATTTGTTTTCCTGTATATTGAAATTTCGTTCAATTATTATAAGTGTAGGAATTAATATATGTTTAATATATGCTGTGTTACTTACTGTGTTACTTAAGTAACACGGTAAGTAACACAGCATATATTAAACATATATTTATTCCTACACTTAAAATAATTGAACGAAATTTCATATAAAGTAACACAGCATATATTTAATTATATTAATTCCAGTAAGTAACACAGTAAGTAACACAGTAAGTAACACAGTAATTACTGTGTTAGTTACTGTGTTACTTACTGGAATTAAAATAATTTAATATATGCTGTGTTACTTACTGTGTTACTAACTGGAATTAATATAGTTAAATATATACTGTGTTACTTACTGGGCGCAAACAAACATTGCATTATTTTCAGTTGAATATTTCAAGCTAATTATTTACATAAACTGGCTTCTTAAATTAAATTAAGTAGTTATTATTCTGTGTAAAATTATTGAAAAGATTGTTTTAGTTTGTTGTGGACTCAAAGGATAAATGACAATAAGTGAATTATTACTTTTTAATTTTTTTTAAACTAAAACAATAATAAGAAATAATAATATAAAAACAACAGTAATGTTCAATTTTATCACATTTTCCCAGACATCTTTAAGTTTTAAGTAGTCCATTGTTCAAAGATCCAACCGATTTGGAACCGTGCGCTTTCAAGTTGATTGTCTTGATAAAATATTGTTTTCAACCTTATTGGAAATGGCAGGTAGAGATTCACTGAATGTCATAGGAAGATCCAATGACACAGCCTCATCAGGTTTTTGTAACAGGTGTGCAGTAGATTCATCAGTTGCTTATAACAGGTTTCACAACATTCACTGAGAATGGTAGGTTGCAAAACGAACAAAAGCAATCATTCTGGTAACGCCAGGATTGCATAACAAATTGTGTAAAGACAATAAAGTAGACAAGTTCATTGCTAAAGAGCACATACAACTAAAAGTATCAGGTGCAATATTGTCTATTCCTTTCTGGTAAACAATGTCAAAGCTGTAACAAAAAAGCTTAATACGCTGTTAATATGTTTTATCATTATTGATTTTACTCGTATTATTCTCATTAAACATAAACAATACAGATTGTTAATCAGTTAAAAGCTTAAAATGCTTCCCAGTTAGTAGATGGCACTAATGTCGAACAGATTCTATAAAAGCACATGCCTTTTTTTCAATAGGAGGATGTTTTAGTTCGAATAAAGTTGTAATAAAACATAAATTTGCAATTGTCCAGAAATGCATACATATTAAAAAGTAAAAAATGCTAAACTTACCAATCGTTGCAGATTATTTTTGTAATTCTATAATCAATACTAAAAGTTATCCTATACAAATTTACCAGCGGTAGGTTGTGTAGATTGGACTAAAGATAACAAAAAATTGTAAAGTTACATAAAACACTATGTAATTGTCGACAGTAAGTTACAAAAGTAATAATCGTCAAATCAGTTCTATGTAAGATGCAACAACCTTATTAACAAAATGAAAATAAACAATGAAAGTATAACAGTAAAAGTATTAAGTTTTTCCTAAAAAAAATATATTTATAAATAAAAAACTAACATTAGGGATGTATATACTTTGGTTTATAATGGTATATAAAGGTTTTTATTATACTAATGATGCATACTTTGTTTATATATAAATTATGTTAGTTAGGTTGTAGTTATATATAAACCATGTTACTTATACTTATAAAATCTTAAAAAAAAGGATAATATTTTGTAGGGTTTTAACAATAAGTAAACAATAGGCATGCTTATCAATAATAATAATATCTTTTATTATATTTGAAAAACACTAATTTTTTGTTAGGAATAAACCAATGAAGTATCTGATTTGTATACTTATTTATATGTGGTGTGTTGATATAATTGTTAACTGATACTATCAGTTAACAATGCGTTCAAAAGCAAGAGCTTTAATCTGAAACATTAACCTTTTTTAGGTATTCCTTCAGTTAAGCGACGTAAAATAAAATTATTATTTTGCTTTTTAAACACTTGCGGAGGAGCATTTTCTCATTAAATAAATTTTCTCATTAAATAAATTTGTATTAAAACTTTAAAGCTTCAAATTTTATTGAGTTTTTTTTCTTAAAAAAATTAAATGTAATCAAATTTATTGTTCGTTGATTGTTTCCTTATGTTTTCAGTTTTAGTTTTAATTTTTTAAGTGCTATTATTTGTATAGTCGGAACAATGCCTCGTGGTAGACCAAGCGCAAAACATTTATAGTTGAACCTAATGAAATCTTAGAACCCGAAGTCATTTTACTGGAGAACTGGACTTTTTTTGAAATAGCCAATGTTGCTGGAGAACCGATGTCTGTTCTTAAATGGCTAGCAAAGCGTAGACTCTTAAAAATAGTGTATATTGTACGCAATGCGGAATTTCTTTTGGATTAAATGCATACAAGAGTGCAACTGATGCTTACCGCTGGTTTTGCAAAAATGAAAAAAGCGACAGAGTGTTCTTGATGGGTCGTTCTTTAGTAAGAGTAGACTACCACTTAGACAACTTCTGCTCTATATCTACAGCTGGAGCCGAAATGCAACACAACAAGATATACAACATGAAACAGGAATTCACGGATCTGCAACATTAGCTGACTGGGGTAATTTCTGCCGAGATGTCTGCGAAGTTGACATCGAAGAAAATCCTCAAATTATAGGCGGAATTAACATCGATGGAACACCTATTGCTGTTGAAATCGACGAATCCAAATTTTTCCATTGAAAATATTACTGTGGACAATGGATGAGGTTAAAACGTAAAATAAGACAACAACTCGGCACCTCCGAGACTCTTTTTGAATCTCATCTCCATGAGTTTGTTTTGCGCCAAAGATACAAAAACAACTCAAAGTTTTCAGCCTTTGTTTAATGTGTAAACCGACAGTATCTTCGTGAAATATAGTTTGTCGTTACTTCAAATTTATTTTTTAAGTAATTCAAATTTAGTTATTAGGCATAAATAAAAATGTAAATTAATATTCCAACTATTTGCATTAACATCATTAATATATAATTAGCTGTTTAACTAAATGTTATTCGATATATGTTTTAAATTAAGCAGCATAAATGTTGTTGACAAGTTGTGGGAATATGTATTTTATTTATGGTATATAAAAGTTATAAATATATAAAAATTCATAAAGAGCAATCTATTTGATAAAACTTAAAAAAAAAATTACGGAACGGATTTTTTTTAGTAAAGAACGGATTTTTTTGTTTTATAAGTAACTGTTGCTATATAATAAGTATAAAAACAAATTTAAAAATTAAAAAAAAAAAAATAAAAAGTATAAAAGTTATTACAATTTTTTTTTACACACATTAATTACGTAATGTATTAATTTGAATACAGTTTTTTCTCTGCGGAAGAGAGCGTAATTTCAGACGAATTTGAGACAATGAAAGAAAGCAAAATAATAATTTTATTTTACGCCGATTAACGGAAGGATTACCCTTTTTTATAAGTAAAATATTAAAAAATTTTTGATTTAAAACTGTTATTATTAATATTATTATGACAAAAAAAAAATTAAACTTACTATCTGTGAGAGAGTCTAGAACACATTTTTCAATTTTATCCATTTTAATTTAAATCTAATAATAAAAATCAAAATGTTATTATTATATTTTGGAACTATTATTTTTTTGTAGAGTCGGCCCCTCTATCCGCTTCCGTATTTCGCTTAACAAAAAAAAAAAACAACAACAGAAAAACCAGGTATCAAAAAAAGTTAGGTATCAAAAGTTCTACACTAATTAAACTATCTGGGGAGATTTATTTTATGTTGAAATTCGGAATGTGCATAGAAAACGCATGTAAAAAATTACCTGAATAATAAAAAAGGAGATCAACATTTCTTTGACTACAAATTCATGTGAGAACATCAACCGAATTTTCATACAAAATTTTTAGCAAAATAATCCATAAAATAGTATGCTAATCAAGCATATTAGTCATAAAAAACCAAGCCTGAATATTCGTCTTTTAAAAATAATATAGGTTTGAATATTAGGGTGGATCGATTTTCATAGCAAAAAAAAAAAAGTTTAAAAATTAATATTCCTGAGACACGAATCGATGTCTATTAATTATAAGATGACAGTAAAAAAATTTTTTTGATTTTGATGAGATCTTGAGGTTCCTCTTTGGATTCTAAATCCTTGACGGATCCTAATATTTTTGAATTTTTTTATTTCTAAACTATATCAAGCTTGGACTCAAAAAAAGCAGAAAAAAACGCTTGTTTTATCAATGATAATTTTATTAAAAAAAAATTTTTTAGTGAAAAAAATATTTGCAAAAATATACCTTAAAACCCCCGTTTTGATGAAGACAGGGGTTTTTTAATGAAAAAAACAACATTATTTTTTTTTTCTTTAGTTTTAAATTAAAACAAATATTATATCCAAAATAAACGTATTATTCTGCTTCTTTTGAGTACCAGGTTGATATAGTTTAGAAGAAAAAGAATTTCAACAATATTAGGATCCGTCATAAATTTAGAATTCAAAGAGGAACCACTAAAGTCCATTTAAATTAAAAAAAAAAGTAAGGTTCTTTTTTCACCAAAAGACATCGATTCGCAGCTAAGGCAAATCAAATTTCAAAAATTTTTAAAATAGATCTACACTATTG